AGCCCCGCGTTGTGTTTCTCTTCGCACTGAATTCTGATGGCCAACACGGAAGAAGAAACGAAGCTACAGAGACTACACTGAAAGTACAGAACTTATGATACACTGCAGAAGAGAAAAAGAGAAAGCAGAGAGCAGGACAGTACACACCAATGGTGACGGCAATAAAAAGCTATAGCCAAAAGAAAATGCACGATCAACGAATCTTTGTCTCTTCCACTGCTCCATAGAACCCACAACAAAAGCCAGTCCCCCCCCCCACCTTGCTAGCAAAGGATGGGTCGACTATGCCGATGCAGTCAGCAGCGGGCGCACCTGCTGCTGCTGCTGCAGGTGCTGCTTCACTTGCTGCTGCCTGTGCTGCTGCTTCTGCTGCAAGTGCAGCAAAAACTTCCAAAATGACACGGAAACGACTAGCTGCTTCTCTCTAGCTCGGCCCCTCTTCTAACAGGCCTGGCTACAGCAGCAGCTCAGCTAGAAGCTGCAGCAGTGTCCGCTGCACCAGCAGCAGCATCTGCTGCAGGAGCAAGCCTATGAGACTAGCCACAGCGCAAAACGAAACCTCTGCCTGACAGCAAGAGAGAGTCAAAGAGGTCTCGCTGCACAGTGAAGCAAACTTGTCTCAGCGCATGCAGCTGACATTCCCATCACAGGTGTTGCTGCTGCTGCTTAGGTGCGTCCATCGTTGCCCCCAAGGGGTGTATTGCCGCCAGAAGCAGCAGCAGCAGCAGCAGCAGCAACAGCAGCACTGAGATCTCCCACAGGGATACCGCTAGTGCCTGCTGTGCCGCTGCTGCTGGTGCCGTCTTCAGCACCCGTTATATGTGGCGCTGTAGCAGCACCCGCAGCTGTAGGTGTGTTGGACGCGGACGGCGGCCCTGCACTGCTGCCCCCGAAGCCACCAGCAGCAGCAGCAGCTGCTGCTGCTGTTGCTTGGGGCTTCGGCGGCATCAAGAAAGGCCTCACTGGCGGCGGGTACATCTTATTCAGAGGAACAAACTTGTCAGAGCTGCAGCACCGCACCGGCAGCCCGGGATCGAAGTAGCCCATCGTGTTCCATACAAA